TTCCATAAAAGGAATGGTCAATCCTTCCCTCAGAGCGGGGAATTCCATAAAGGGTATGAGGACAGGAACACCCCCCCACACCTCGCAGGCCCCTCCCCCCTTGACAAGGTTTCTGGGAAAATGGCATGGAGGGCCATAGAATACACAGTTTTGGGCTACACCCATCCAGTGATGAATCGGTCCCAGCTGTTCTAACTAGGACACTGCGCCATCCCTGGAAGTGTCCAAGGCCAAGTTGGACGGGGCTTGGAGTGACCTGGGCTAGTGGAAGGTGTCCCTGCCCATCCATGGACAGGTAGTAGAATGAGATGAACGTTAAAGTCTCTTCCAATCCACACTCTTTTTTGATTCCTACTCCCACAGACAAGAAATTACATTTGGGAAATTGTCTCTCCTGACTCTGAGGATCGCAAGAGTGGGATGCATCCCAGCAGCAGCAAGACAAGGGACCTCACTGGGACTTCCCAACCCAGTGCCATCTCCTCCCTCTTGGGAAGGAGCCCAATGTTTCCAGCAGGAATTCTCCCCAGCAGTTTGGATTGGAACAGTTCAGCATTTGCTGCACTCCTAGGACTGCCCAGCCCACATGCAACTTTGCCTCCAGGCTTGTTTTTGGTACATGCATTGATGCAGATGAAAACATCCTGCTGCCAGCAATGCCCTTCGCCACGGGCTCTGTGTGACAGGGAGTCCCAGTGTCTCCACATCATGTTCCACCCAAACGTTTCCTTCCTGCTGCATGCAGGTATCACCTGCCAGAGAGCAGTGAGATAATTGCTCTTTGTCACTGGCACTTTCTATTCCTCCTTTTGTCTGTCTATTCTCTTCCCATGCCCCAGAGCACACAGGCCAACAGTTCAGATATTTTTTGGGTGTGAGTTCCTGCCATGCAGAGCAGGTGGTGGGTCCCCATGCACCTCTCCATAGTCCCTCAAGCCTGTCCTTGTCTTCACTGCTCATCCAATGCTCCTTTATCCCCTCAGCAAACCTGGCCAGATGTCATCAATCTGATAACAAGGGACTTTTCTCTCACTGAATATTTCTAAGGACTTCCTGGGATGAGGCTCCCTGGTGGCATCCTGCGGCAAGGAGCTTTACCACCCACCGCTGCTCTCCCTTTGGCTTGTTGTAGTGGTTCCATCTTCAGCTTCTCAGCCAGGGTCTCTGGGAGCACACCATGGGAATGGCTGGCAGGGACCAGGTGAGTGCAGTGGGGATCAGACCAGGCACCAGGTTCCCAAACATTGGTGGAGAGAGCAGAGGGGTGCTGGGGCAAGGGAGGTGCTGGGTCAGCCTTTGATGGCTGAGGAACAGTTTGAGACTTGCAGCTCATGGCTACTGTGATGCAAGACCATCTGCTCTATTCATGCTCCTCATGCTGTTCCAGATCTTAAATCTTTGACAAGCCTCCCCGTCCTTCCAGCTGCTCCTCTCACGCTTCTCTCTCCCTCTCCTGTTCAAGCCATGTCCCAGCTGGGGCTGCCTGGCCAGACCCGGACCTCCACCTCACTGAAATGGTGGGAGTATAGCTGAGGTTTACATGGTGCCTTTTTCTGTTCCCTGATCTTCTCCTAATGTCTCCTCATGCTGCCCCCTTTGGCACCTGCTGTACATGGATGAGATCTTTTACAAGACATCTGTCAGTCAGCACAGTGGCCTCCCTGGGTGACCTTCTTCCCTTTCTCTCAGCCACTGTTTACTGTGTGGGTGACCAAGCACTGGTATGGGCTGCCCAGAGAGGTTGTGGAGTCACCTTTGGGGATACTCAAAACCTGTCTGGACACAATCCTGAGTGATTGCTCCAGGGGACTCTTCTTGAGGAGGGAGGTTTGGACTGGATGACCCCCTGTGGTTCCTTCCAGACTGAACCATTCTGTGATTTATCCCTCTGAGATCTGCCTCTCTGGCCTATGGCAGCTTGTCTCCTGTGAGCTTTGATAAAGACCCTTCCAGCTGACCAGGGAATGTCCAACACCCATGTCTCACTGACTCCTCCAGAGAGGTGTATTTCTGAGGTGTGATTTTTCTGTGCAAAACTTGGATTTAGTCTGTCCTGTGACATACTTTGCCCAGATATCAACCAAGTCTGGCATTAATTACAGCTTTCGTATCTTCCACATTACATAGGAGACCTACTCATGTGTCATCCTTTAGCTCTGACCACCTCTGCAGAGGCTGCCGTGTTCGCTTCTGGTCTGGTGAAAACTAGAGGTATCACAGGGGAGTCTAAGCGGCACGTGGCAAGCTGCAGTGATGTCTGAGTTTCATATCTGACTGGAAATGTCATCTCCTCAGTCTTACTACTCGCTTGCCCTTCTGCACTGGTAGGACAGAACTTTTCAAGTGTTTGCAGAGGAGATCGTCCATCCTGGGAATCCAGCAAAGCTCCTCCTTGGACAGGGTGGATGCAGAGCTTTCTATCACCTGGATGCAGGTTTTCTATCACCTTATTTTCTTTGAATACTCACTCTGAATTTAACTAGCTACCTTTAAACATTTTCTGGTGTTAAATTCCTGCTGCCAAAGCCTTTGAAGAAGGTGCAGATGTCATTCCCCAGAGCAGAGCAGTAAGGCACCGAATTCTGATGTCTTTGTTGTTTGTCTTACATTGTTGCCTTTGGCTGCTTTCAGTAAGTTAAAGTTTATGCTATTTCTAATCAGCTTCTTGAAGTTGCTGTAATCATGCTGGCTTCCATTTAGACTTCCCAATGTTCTTTAGGGTTTATATTTGCTAATATCAGCTTAAGTGCTCAGAGGGAAGCTAAGCTGATCTTTCCAGACAATCTCTGTACCATATGTGATAGTTAATCCTTTCAGCTTTTCATTTTTTCCTCTTTTGAAGATGAAATGTGACTGTGTGGGATCATCTCTGGTTCTAAAAGTAGTAGTGGTTGGCATGAGAATGACGCTTTGATTTCGGCCCCTGAACCAGGTCCCACTTGCTGCTCAGGACTTGTGGGCTCCTAGCCATCCCAAAAAAAACCCTGAACCCATGAGTGCCCAACCAACCCGCCTGGAGCAGCCATGTCTTAGAGCCTCCTGGACGTTCCTTTGCATGTGATGGCTGCCAGCACCACTGTCACCAGCTGGTGGGATGGTCACCACAGCAGGAGTCACTCCAGTGATATACAGACATCAGGTGTTGTCCATCTGCATTGTATGCTGCAGAGTGAGACCATGAGGTTCTCCAAGTGCCAATGGCCTTGGGATCTGGTGGGTGTGAGCCCAGAAGAGCTTTTCCCCTTTCAAAATGCACCCAGGAGTACATTGAAATCACCCTGGTTTCCCAAGCCACTGGTGCTACCAGACACACTGTCATGAAGAGAGGAAGCATCTTGTCAAGCTGTGCAGGTGCTGAGTTACCAGTGTCCCCAACAGCTGTGTGGGGTGAGTGCTTGAGGTTAGAAGAGATTTAGGATGGAGGAGTCAGCCCTATGCTGGGATCTCTGCCTGCTCTGCTCCCTGCCCCTCTCCCGTGACCAGCAGCCGTGGGTGTCCTTGCTGTCCCTCTCGCAGCCCAGCAGCCAGATGAGCACCGGGGTGCCTGGCACACGTGTCAAAGGACACAGCCTCACAGCTCGCCTGCAGGCAGCATGGCAGGAGTCCTGCCTCTACTACAAACGTGGTGCTGCCCCCCTACAGGCATGCCCCTCATCCACTTGTTCCACAGCCTAGTTCCAGGATGTGGCTCTCCGTGCACAGCAAGGCTGTGGAGCTGGCCTGTGCTTCACTTAAGCCTACCTCAAGCTCACTTGACTCATTAGATTTGATTGCAAGTCAAATGCAATTTAATTAGCAGAAAGGCAAACAGCCCCTGCCAATGACTGGCTGATCATTCCCTAATGACTATCAGATCAGCAGATGTAATTGCAAAGCCCTACAGTTATCGGAAAATGAAATGAAGATGCCACTTGCATCCCACTCAGACAGTGCCTCCGACATCTCCTCCTGCCATGGCTCGTGGACTGGGGAGTTTCTGTGGGGGAGAGCATATCCCTCTGCACTCTTCACCTCCCAGTAAAGCAACCAGGGCCAGAGAAGCCAACCTGGTTTTCTGGTAGCCCAGACTGTGGTGGTGTCCTGGGGACACCAGCTCTCTGGAACGCCCTGGATTCTGGAGAGGTCACAGGGCACAGGGAGGGAGCTGGGCATGGGTGCCCTACCCAGGGGTCTTGTGCTCGGTCTGTGCATGTGACATCTTCCCAGCGAGCCAGCCATGTAGTTCTCCACCTCTGCTTCAATAAACCAACTCAAAGGCTGCGGTTACATTTTTAGCTGCAGTTTGCGTATTTCCTTTCTCTTTTCTGTTTGCATGCTCAACCTCCCAAACCTGCCCAGCTGCAGGAACCAGCCTATCGGCGGAGGGGATATAGACAAATTGTGCACAGACCAATATGATCGACAAAATGTCCGATTTATTACAAGAAGGATACTCATTATATACTGTTTCTACACCCCTAGGCGTGATTCTTCTTCACACAGCATTGGATACATAAGAGAAACATACTTTGTTGTCCGGTGTTAATTGGAGCATCGCAGGTGTCCATAAGAGATGAAAAAACTTGTTTAGCTTTCTAAGACTCTTCCTTGACCTTGGCAGGGAGCCTTCTTTGTTCTAGCTTCAGAGCTTGAAGCCATGTTAGCTACGCAGCAGTTTTTACTGTCTGCACCCAGCCATACCAAGGCAAGGCCTACAGAAATGCAGGGAAAATTGTTCACACACAATCTTTGTTCTCCCAACACCAGCCCACCTTACTTCTCCCAATTTCTGCTTGTTCACAGCCGCAGCCGCCAATCTTCCCCTATTGATCTTCCCATTTACACCAAAGAGCATTGACTCATGCCTACTCGAGCTGAAGTTGTTTTCCCAGATAACTCTTCTAAAAACAACCTATTTTTCAGGAACAGGTACAAAACCCCTACCGCATCTTCTGGTGAAAAATTATGTTGTTCTCATATCCAAGGATGTCTGGAATGACCATTGCGGACAAGGCTGTGATTATAGCACCTCCACTCCTCCTGGAAGGATTTCCCTCCCAGGGCTTTGTCCTCACCCCAAGCTAGCTGGGAGATCTGCACCATCCAGGCAGACATCCCTTTCCTTCCTTTCCAAGGCAGTTTAGGTCCAGGAAGATCTGATGGTGACTTTCAATGTTTTTTGCTGTGCTGCCCTCTCTCCTCACCTCCCACTCCTACACCCCCCTCCTGAGTCCTCCATCACCTCTACCCTGGTCACACCAGCTGTTTCTCTGACCTCTGGGAACCTCTGCTGCCATGGGAATCTTCATGGAGTAGTTTGAGTTGCTCTTGTCATGGTTACAGGAGGTTTTTTATTTTATTCCCTTTTCCAACATGGTTTTGGAGGGACTGTCTCTTTAAGAATGAATTCCCCACCCCTGCTGGAGCTGGGCAGGGGGAAAAGAAAAAGGCCCGGTGGAAAATAGAGCTCTTGTGCTTCTCCAGGACCATGTGGGCTGGTGCTTGGGGAGTCCACGTGGAACTGCTGCCCGTCCCAGGAACCCCTGCCATCGCCTGGACCGCCACTGCCACTCACCCTCCGCCACAGATGGGGAGAAACAAAAGTGAGGCAGACATAAGGCACACTGTGTGGGACCAGCACGGCCTCCCAGGACTGCCACCCGCCCATGCCAGGACCACCAGCACTGTCCGGGACTGACACCACTGTCCGAGACCGCCACCGCTGCCAGGGACAGCCACCACTGCCAGGGACTGCTACCGCTGCCGGGGACTGCCACCACTGCCAGGGACTGCCACCACTGCCAGGGACTGCCACCACTGCCTGGGACTGCCACTGCTGCTTGGCCACTGCCCAGTCACGCCAGGCAGGGCAGCACCAGTGCCGGAGGCAGCACGTGGCAGGGAACAAAGAGGCTCCAGACTAACGCCACTGCTACAGTCAAGACCTGAACGTGACATAGAGTGGGCAGTTTAATAGTATAGCTTCTTATGAGCAACACAGTTTTCCTGGCTTTTTGCTTTTGCCCCTTTTTTGCATTGTTTTTTTTTGTTTGGTTGAGCAGAGGGGGGCAGGGAGGACCCTCCGCCATTTTTTCCCCTTTGTTCCAGGGGGGCCACATGGGGTGGTGAATGCCCCTCTTTGTGGGTAAGCCTATTCCTTTGTATCTTTGTGGCTGCTGCTAATTCCTTGTCAGTAAACTGTTATTTTTTAACTTATATCTCCTCATATTTTGTCTCTCTGTATTGGTAGGAAATAAAAGGGGAAGGAGTTCATTTTATTGAAGTTCCCACCCCAAAATTTGTCCTTAAACCAAGACACTCTACACCATCTTTGCACAAGGCCAGCATTGTTTGTTATATTTCCTATGAACCAGAGGAGATACCAGCCCATACCGCTCTCCCAGCTGCTCTTATCCCCCAGGTCCTTCCCGTCTCCCTGAGGTTACACTTTTGTTTGTCAGCTTCTACTCCTCCATCACAACCCAAACTAGCAAGTAGAGTACACGCCTCTCCTCCAACCTTCATTCCTTTTGTGGTTCAAAGCCTGGCATCACATCCCTGAAGGCTTCTCCCATCCTGCTGGCACACCTCCTTGGATTGAGTCCATGGATGCTCCCAGGTGCTCAGACAGCCTGAGCAGCTGAGCTTCTGAGGTTGCTCCTCCTCCCTCCTTGATCACACACATCCACCCAACTGCTGGGCACCAGGACAAACCCACAGCCTACCCTGGCCCTCTGCATTGTGGAGCACATCTCCAGCATGGCAGTGTTGTCCTTGTTCCCTCTCGGAGTGCAATGTCATTTGAAGGTGCTTAATCCTCTCAGCCTGGCATCCACCTCCTCTTGGCTCCTAGGAGATGCTCCCACCCTTCTCTCTGGAAGGACCTGGTGATAGCTCAGTCAGCAACAGCAGGTTCCTGCAGGCTTTTGTGAATGGCTGATCATGTCCTGGCTGCTCCTCCTCCAAGCTTTAGATTCACACTCAAAATCTGTATCTCATATTCCTTTACTCCTGAGCTCCAGCTTCCCATTAGACCCAGAGTCTTCCCTTTTCCTGCATGCTAATATCTCTGCTTTTCCTTACCATCCTCAAGCCTGATGGAACCGCATTTCTGGTCCTCCTGTGATCTCTCAGACACTCAGAGGTCCCTCCCTTGTGTTGTTTTCTCAGGGTGAACATGAAGCTGACATCCCCAGTGCAGTATTGGCCAGAAGGAATCTTCTCTGTCCTACATATAAACATTGTTTATTTTTTTGAGGTCTGCTTCCACGATCTGTGACAGAGAGGGCAAGCAGGAGACCTTTCTGTATCTTCACTAAAGGTGTAAACACTATTTGTTTCCAGCAGCAGCTGTTCAAGCAGTCTCCAACCTGTGGGATCTTTAGACCAATCTCCTGTTGCAGGTCAGGAAACCTGGAAGGAGGAGAGGAGCTACTCTCGTCTGGTCTTGTTTAACAGTCCCTGGGATCCTTACTGATCACAGAGGTGAGGTCCCAGCTCTCTCTGGTGTCCTTCAGGTGACACAGAGTTGGGAGTTGCCTTAAGGATTGAAACCCCATGGGCTCAGACCTGCCACCTGCCCCCACAGTTGTACTCCCACCACGCCTCTGGATCAAGGTGTGGGCAGTGCCTGGGCAGCGGCACAGCTGCAGCTCACTACACAGCAGATCCAAGGGCTGGTGATTCCCCACGGCAAGGGTGAGCACTTCCCTTCTTTCTACCTGTCCTTATCTCCAGCTCTTCTGGTAGATGAGCCCCAAGCCCCTGCAGCAGGAACGTCTCAGTGCCCCCACCATGTTCCTTCTCTTGGAACTTTCCGGTGTCAATGGAGGAGAGATAACCCCCTGCCCATTCTTCTCACTCATTTACCTGGTGGTGGTGCTGAGGAACCTGCTCATTATCACCCTTGTCCGCTGAATGTGCACCTCTACTCCCTCATGTATTTTTTCCTGGGCCACCTCTCCTTCCTGGACATCTACTGTTCTGCCACGCCCCTCCCTAAGATCCTTGGAGACTCCTTCTCGTCACAGAAGACCACCTCCTTTGTGGTCTGCATCACTCAGATGTACTTCTTCCTTGGCTTTGGGGGCTCTGGGTGCCACTGCTGGCTGCCATGGCTCAGGACCAGTCATGGCCATCTGCCTCCACTGCCTGGCACTGATGAGCAAGAGGGTGTGTCACTGCTTGGTGGCTGAACAGCTCCTTCTCACCTCTGATGCAGGCCTGCCCCCAGCCCACTTGTCCTTCTGTGGGTCCAACGTGAGCGACCACTTGTTCTGCAACCACTTTGTGCTGCGGGCCCCCTGCAGCCCCACACTGCCCTCAGCACAGCCGCCTTGTACACTCTGGCTGAGACCCCTGCGATGGGCTCTTTACTTCTCACTCTTGTGTTGTATGTTCACATCTTTGGAGCTGTCCTGAACAGGGAGCAGGGACACAGAGAGCCTTTGCCATCTGCACCTTGCTCCTTGCCATAGTGTCCCTGTTCTTCACAGGGACTGGAACCATTTGATACCTCGTGCCTCACTCCAGCAGCTCCAAGGAGACAGACATGGTCCTTGCCCTACTCTACACCATTGTGACCACCATGCTCAACCCCATCATCTACAGCTTGAGAAACAGCAAGGTCAAAGGGGCCATCAGGAGAGCCCTGTACCAGGGTGTCTTACAGACGTCCACCAAGGGTGCAGTCATCACTGCTGAGCGACCCCCACCCTCCCTGTGACAGGGATAGGTTCTTGGTGACCCAAGACACAGGAAGAGCCTGGGGCTCCCAGTCAGGCAGTGCCAGTGAGGGCACAGCTGGCAGCTTCTCGCTTCCCTTTACCAGCACATCCAACGCTCAGACACGTTATTACCCATGAGAACCTGGGGGCTGGGTCCCTAATTCACAGCATCATCTGCCTCTGTGACTGAAAGCCCCCACACCGCTGACTCGGACTCCCAGTGCCAGCTTCAGAGAGCCCAGCTCTGCAGGTATGGTCCGAAGCAAGTGAGCTGGGTCTCATCCCATTCCAAGAGCCAGGTACCTGTGCTGGTTTAAAGGTAAACCAGCAGGGGAAATGAACTCAACTCAAAAGAGAGATTATAAGTCAGAATAACAATTTAATAAAATAATACAATAAGTACAATTATACAGGCAAACAATTGGTTTTAACCCACAAATCCCAAATATATAACCCAGCACCTTGGGGCATGAACAGAGTGGTGTTCTTTGGGCCCCCTGAGTCCAAAGGAAAAAAAAGTGAGGGGAAAACCTGTTGGCGAGAGTGCTGTTGCAGTCTGGTCAAGAGTGGTGATTGTAGTCTGGTCAAAAGTGGTGATTGCAGTCCACTTGAGGGTGGTGGTCTCAGTCTGGTTGAGAGCGGTGAGCTGCAGTCTTCCTCTGGATCCCACGAGTGGTAAAAAGGTTCCAAAACTCCAAGTTTATATATGCTCCAGTTCAGGCAGGAATGCTCAGTCCTTCCCTCAGAGCGGGGAATTCCATAAAAGGGTATGAGGATGCTCAGTCCTTCCCTCAGAGTGGGGAATTCCATAAAAGGGTATGAGGACAGGAACATCTTCCTATCTCACAGGCCTCTACTGCTAACAATTTCTGGGAAATGGCATGGAAGGCTATAGAATACACAGTTTTGGGTTACACTCATACCATGATGAACTGTTCTCAGCTGTCCTAACTAGGACAGTACCATCCTTCCATTGCACAGCTCTTCACTCTCTCAGAGGGGTGGCAGAAGGATGGCACACAGTGTCCTCTGGAATAGACTAGGCCTAAGAAATAGATACTGCCCAGACGGATAAGCTGTGCTGGCTGTCCATATGTTGCCTTTGATGTGCTGGTGCCCTTGGTAAGCCTTTTTCTTTTAATCATTTATCTACACGAGGGGTTTTGTCAGGCTCTCTGGAAAGAGCTTTTATTCCCAAGCAGAGTCCTTTTTGAGGTGAAACACTGCAAAGCACAGCAGTAATGCTCAGCTGTTTGCACTCCTGGTTAATGCTGGATGATCTCTTCTGGGCTCGACTTGCAGACACTGCAGAGCTGGATGTCTTTCCCTTAATGCAATGGAATATGTATGTTGGGATCCGGGGCTCAGCTATCAGCAAAGAAGGATCTGATGAGATTATGTAGCAGGCCATGGACAGCAGGAGCTGGGAAGAACGCCTTACTCTGCGGACCTTCCTCACAAGACCTATTGATATTTAACTATGTTGATTGGCCTGTCTCCTGCAGCAAGATATGGAAAGACTTTGTGATGACGTTATCAGACCATGTAGAAACCCCTTTATTCTTTTTCCCCCCATGTGGTCCTAGCTAAGGGAAAATATTAACCAACTGTGTAACTGTAGCAGAAAATTGTGTAATCTCCCAGTTAACACAATCCATTACCTAGTTAGCATAACCCATCCTCCTCATTAACATGTCCTGCCCCCAAGACCCTTGTATTGCATTTCACTTGTTCAATAAAGATTCCAGTTTTCACCCCCAAACCTGAGACTGATTAGTTATTGACCTCTTCATATGTATACATAGAAAAACCATTGTCAGTGGACTGATCTTTATAGTTTTTGAAGTCAAAATTAATCCTGGGTACAGAGAGCTGCTTCCACATGCTAAATAGTGGCAGTGAAGCAGGAGTGCAGGTGGGAAAGCAGATGGATCTGGTTCATGTTGCGCTTTCAGGAAGGGTTCAGGGGGTCCCAGCACATGGAGCTGAGGGGATGGTACTTGGTGGTCATAAATAAAGTGATGGGAAAGGATGTTGTGAGCCCTGCTCAGTGTGTGCAGGGACACCTGACAACAGATACAGTGAAATGTGTTCTCCCTGGACCTTGACCCAATGCTGGGTTGGGATTGCTTTACAAGTAAAACCCTGTAAGACTCCTACTGAGCAGAAATTATGGGAACTAGTTTCTTGTGACTGATGGAGTCAAGATTTCCCAGTGGGAACCCAACGTGCCTTATCCACTCAGGTGAGGCTGCACCACATCCTCCCAGAGCACACAAACAAGGCAGGGCCAGCTGGGGAACCAGGATTTTACGACACCTACAAAATCAGCAGCTCCTTTGGAAGTAAAATGGGAATTTCCCATCCCTTCCCACCCATGGTTCCCAGGGCAGGGATGACCTGGAACAATCTGCCACCCCTCTGCTCTCCTACAGCCAGGGAAACCTGAGAATTCACAACTACTCATGCCAGGTGCGCTGGTTTAGTATTTGGCCGAGAATGCACCTCTGGAGGTTATGAGCAGCAAGAGAGGATGTAGCAGGGAAGGGCTGGGCACCATGAGTCTGTGCTTAGCCTTCACTAACTTGAGACACTGATAGGCAAGGTCACACCACAATATGGACCAGCGGAGCTTGCTGAAAGGACGAGCAGCATTGCCAGGGATAAAAGAATCATAAATCCCTGCTTTCAGACTTATGAGTCATGGGAGACTCCCACTTTCTCCGGAGCAGCTGTCTCCAAAGAGGAGTGCATGCACCCTGGGGGTACAAAGAACAACCCATTAGGATGCAGGAAGAAAGTATATTTGGTACCATTAAGAAATAAAGTAAAATCATATTTTTAAATCAGTGTTTATTTAATCTTTATCTTGTCCTTTTAAAATGTCTATTCATGTGTATGTTTTATAATCTACATGTATATAACTTACGAATAAAGGGAGACATCTCTGCCAGGGGGGCTGGAAGTGACTGTGTCCTGCAGCCAAGGGAGGAGCATGAGTGGTCCTGGGGACAAGGCTGGTGTGAGAGGAGATCCCACGTCATGCCAGTATGAAGGCAATAGGGATGGGTGGTGAGCCAGGCTCCGGGGGCTGGCAGGGAGGCAGAGGGGATGACATAGCAGCGGGACAGGCAGGTTGGGAGCAGCACCCACATCAAGGACTCAGCGAGGGTGTGCACAAGAGGAGTGGAGTGCACAGGGTGATGCAGAGGGCTAAGAGATGTGAAAATGGGACAGAGGAGAGGCGATGGGTACAGGGATGTGGGGGACACTGGAGCATGGAATGGAAGCTGGGTATGGGGGGTGTAAAGGAAGGGTGTGTGTAGGGTGAGAGGGTTTGGATGAAGGGGTACAGAGGAGAGGTGCAGGGTGAGGCCCACGCAGGCAGGACATACGTGAGAAGGTGTGTGCAGCCGTTCAGAGCCTAAGGCTCCATGAGCTGTCTGAGAACGAGGAGGCCCAACATGGGGAAGCTCGGCAGCATCCTGGAGGAATCCCTGAGCTCATCCCATCCCGCCACTTTCTCCTGCAGGGAAAGACCTCACCAGCTGTGGCCTGGTCAATATGGACCACGCCAGCCTCAGCACCCTCCTCCATACCTGCAGTGACGTCAGGGAGATGAGGGGTGCGGGAGGCAGATCCTCCATCAAGCCCCTGCCATCAGGATGAGAGCTTCCAGACAGCTGTTCCGGGGGTGTTTGGGATGATGGGTGCTCTGGCAGGTCTGCATGTGTGACCAAAGTGCTCCAGTGCTCCAGTGCCACCCCCATGGAAAGAGGAGGTTTGGGGACATTTGTTCAGGCTGCAGCCACATTGTTGTCCCTGCAGGCAGATAAACTGAAGTAAAAATTAAGTGAAGCAGAACCAGGGCAGTGACTGTTCCTCTGTACTTCCCGTCACTGCCAGAAAGACATTGAGGTACTGGAGTGTGTCCAAAGATGGACAATGGAGCCGGGGAAAGGTTTGGAGTACAAGTCTTATGGGCTGTGGGCACAGGGACTCCTGGCACGATGGCCCAAAAGCGGCCCCAAGCACCACTCTGAGGGGCCAAGCACTGGATAATGGCCAGAAAAGACACTTCTTAATTTTTTTCCATTCACCAAGGAAATTTTAAGATCTGAAACTCAGCAATAGGAAGAGATGTGGCCTTAGCCGCGTTTTGGAAAGTTGGGAACTAGCAGCCATCTGCAACAGACAGTCCGTTGGGAGCTTGGGCTGAGCTTGTGGCAAGTAGTAGGAATTGCTGCAGAGAGGGTGAATGGGACTAAGGCATCCCGGGATAACTCAGGCTGGAAGATATCTCGGAAGGTCTGTAGTTCAGCCCCTCACCACAACAAGCCCCAGCTTTCCCAGACTTTCATCCAGCGGGATCTTGCAAGCCTTGAAGATGGTGACTGCATGGCTTCAGTGAGTCCCTCTCTGGCTCCCACTTCGCTGCCAGTCCTGCTTGTTCCTGATGGGTCAGTGCTGGAGGATCCAACTCAGCTCTGCTGTGATGAGGGCTCCTCCCTCTCCCTACCCACCTCTTGCTCCCAGATGAAGAAATGGTGACCCTGCCCCTTGGCTGGGTGCAATGCTGGGGAGTACTGAGGTCCTCATAGAGGTGATTCATGCTCTCATACATCACCTGTCCACGGAGGCAGCATGGGGGTGGGGTCTCCTACCCACCTCACCAGGACTCACAGTCTCATTGACACACACCCAGTGGCCTCCGAGTTACTTCCCACTGCTCTTGCCCAGCCAGATGGCTGTAGGCTTGACATGCAGATGGGGATGTGGTTGTAGTCCCATCCCCTCCTGCCTCCCCCACAGACACCTCTCCGAGATACCTCTGATCGGGGTCCCCGCGCTCCAGGCCAGTGCTCAGCTGGCTTTCTTTGCCTCTGCAATCCCATCTCTGGGTCCCAGCCATTTCCCACGGGGGGTTTATAGCTGCTCCTGGCCGCAGCCACATTGTGGACCTGTGGCTTAGATCAGCAGAGGTGGTCTCCGTGGTCTT